TGGGTTTTTTTTTCTTGCCGAAGACGGGTACAATTGAAAAGTTAAAATGTGGTTCGTCACCATGACTTAAATACCATCCGAGTAAACTGTGGTTATTCGCGCAATTCTCGTGACGCCAGGCTTGTCCTGAAGCTGGCGTCACGGTCGGGTATAATCTGCTGTATTTTGTTCAGTTACAGGGCGATGTTGCTGTTGGGTTTACTTCATTGGGTGATTGTTGTCGAATTTTAACATTTATAGCGCGACGCCAGCAAGGCCTACTCCTTTTCGAATAACGTCCAGGTTTTTACTCCCCACCCAGCCCTCCCCACCCTCCCCACCCAGCCCCTCCCCACCCAGCCCCTCCCTGCACGACGGACACAATAATCCCCTGTGGGCTGGTGTAACCAGGAGGTTCCTACCAGTATATGGGACATTTCTTTCCAGTATCAAAATGTAACAATAGGTTTTACCATCTCTGGCAATAAAACAGGAGGTCTAAGATGTTAAAACACGATACAGAATCCTTTTTCAAGGAATCCTATGTGCATTCACCACACGTACTTGCGGTGAACAGACAATGCGTGTACTCTCAGAGCATGTTTTTTGTTTGCATGTTCACCACAAGTACGTGTGGTTAATGCAGACAGGATTCCTTGAAAAGGGATTCTATTTGGTGATTTAACCTCCTGTTGTATTACCAGAAAGGCTAAAACCGATTATTATTAAAGGTCTTAAATTACGTGCTGATCAAACGGCAGTTTCTGCCGACGTGACAGGAAAACAGTGAAAAGATTGTGAATATCTACGGCACAAATTTCAGGAAAAGTTCCACCACAATTTATCCCAAGAGTCTTTATCGGCCAGTTTGTGGTGTAAAGAGAACACAGCAGGAACTCGGACCAGACTTGATTATCAGGGAGGGTCAAATGCTAAATTCATGAATGATATTTCAGCTGGTCAGGTAATGCTTAGCATGTGTGAGGTACACAGAGCCTTTCTACATTATTCATCATGCTTGGGGAGATCGGTGGCAAGATGGTGGCGAGATGTTAACTACCTCGCCTAGTATACAGGAGATCATGGCTTTGATCCCGACCCCAACGCCTGTATATTTGGAGTTTCAGTGTTCTCCCCGTGGTTGCGTGGATTTTTCACCTGGTCCTCCGGGTTTTCCCTCCACATTAGAAACATGATTTTAGATCATTTGGCTCATATAAATTTCCACATGATAAGCCACTTCGTTGAGCGAACATTTGTGGGCATGATCATCGCGCTCGACAATGCAGACCATGCCCATACAAGAGGTCTGGCAAGGGGCGATGGATCACAACACCTGGAACAACATTCTAAACGGCCCACTGATGAATTACCGACGATTGCTACTATTTATGCATGTGTAATAAGAGCCATGTATGGCTCACGTGGCGATTGGCTTGCCGGTCCCGCTTTGTAGCCAATAAGGGGAGAGCCAGGGAGCATGGCCTCGGCGTGATCACGGCATGTTAGCTAGGGTCATTGGCTTGGCCAAGTTGAGCCTCAGCTAATGGGAAGCCGGATCAGAGGCGTGGTCCCGGGATTGACGGGGAATGATCTGGAACGGACTGGGCGGACTACGGAGGATTGGCTGGGGGGTACCACGTGACCGAGGGATGAAGAGGGAGAAATACGAGGGAGTCAGGAGCAGACCTGGGAACGAAGAGAGCAGGAGCCACGCGCGTACGGGACTCTGAGTGCCACGTGCGCGAGTGACTGAGCAGATTTTCTGCCCACTCCCCGTTGCCTGTCAGCAACGGGGAGTGCGTGTATTGTGGAAGTGAAAAATAAAGAACTGATTCCAAGAGCCATCTCGAGAAGGTTTATTACACCTGTAAAGCAGTTAATGCATTATGCACACACACAATATAGACAGCAGGTATTGCAGTCGCAAATGATTCCAGTCATCGCTTTGACGCAAGTATAGAACAAAACACATCGTGACACGTAACACGGTAACTCAATAGGTATGTCAATAACACTGGCAGTGGATTATAAATTCACTAAATTATTCACTCAATCTCTGCGCCCTATCTCTATGCTATAAAGAAGGACCATTGTCCAAAAAATTGGCTGTTTAAATATTTAATTCTTGTGAAGGAAGTATTAAAGTTTTACTGAGCTTCCCGTAGAGAAGTGAACGAGTACATTGATTAGAATTAAAATTGCCCAGTTTTATTCACTAATCTAACATTTTACAAATTAGAATTGTTTCTCTAACAGTTACTACTTCCTGTGCGCTGATTGTTACTGTCTGTGATTTGATTAAATACATGTGTAGCTTATTGCGACTTAAACCTCATTCACTGCATATAAAATCCATTTATTCTACAAGATATGAAGGCCATACACATTTATATCGAGTATGCTGAGTTTTTTTGAAGGACATGTATATTTGTATTCATCATACCAATATTCCAATTAACTTTTATTCAAACAAATGCCTTTTTTATATATAAAGGAGGATATTGCAAGAACATTACTCTCTGATTAACATAATCCAAAATAGGGCAAGGCAATACTTCATGAGTGTTCTGTCCACGTATCGTTTTGACTGCGCGTACATTTAAGCATAAAAATGTGACGTCTTTATGCGTTTTCATTTTTTATCCAACCTGCGTCAATCAACAAGACACCCGCCGGTCTTGCTTGAAGGTTAATTGCAGCGCGTCATTCATTCGCCAGAACTACACGCGAGACCACCGTCACAGTCGAGGTGCCTCCGCTGAATTCTTCGCAGAGGTCACAACCGGGTACCCGATACCCATACCCTACCCGATACCCGGCTACCCGTACCCGGCCGGGTATGGGTAGCCATTGGCGACCCTGGTGCGGCCGGGTACGGGTACAGGTAAGCCGTGAGTCACTGGTGAATCACCGTTTGTCACTCATTTCCCAACGTCTTGTCTCTTTTTACAATTCAAGTTCCTAGAATCAACCCACCCGCGCCTGCAACATGGCTTCATCCCAGAGGTCGCAATCGGGTACCCGTCCCCGTACCCTCCCCGATACCCGGTCGGGTACGGGTAGCCGGGTATCGGGTAGGGTACGGGTACGGGTACCCGTTTGCGACCCTGGTGCGGCCGGGTAGGGGTACGGGTAAGGAATCAAAACCCGTTTGCGACCTCTGATTCTCCGCGGTTCTGACGCATGCGCAAACAAACCCGGAGGTGAACGATAGGCGACATCCGTCCCAGAAGCCCTCATGGGCACGGCGATTTTTGCTGCTTGTAAGCAGCACGTCGCATGGCCTCCGATTGATGCAAACTCACCTTGACCCCCGTTCCTCAGTCATCGGATCACTCATCATGATGGAGAAACTGCCTGCTCCTCCGATCTAATATAATAAAACAATCATTCACAGCCCCTTGTCAATCCAGTGCTGGATGATGGGGGTGTCGTTTTGGCCAAACTTCACCGTGCCGGTCAGTGGTGAGTGCAGGTTGTCGAAGCTATGTGTCGGTGGTCGTGTCCTCAATGCTTCATTAATATCGCCGAGGTGGTGGTAACTCAGACGTCAGAGTGCTGAGCTACCACTTATGAGATATTGGGTTCGAATCCAGGCCACTGCCTGTGATTAAACTGAGTTCCCGAGTGTAGTGAGGTCAAGGTCTCGCTTAATATAGCAATCATGGCTAAATTCCAGCGATAACAAATATTACTCTGGGTGGTTCGGAGGGTGGGAACGTGATATCCTCGAACGCATGGATGAGAGGACACTCGAAGGACTATCCGAGATATCTCTGAGACATTTGCTTGGGTGGACCGTTCTTATAACATGAAGAGTTGAACTGCTGTGTCGAGATCCTAATCGATACTTCGTCTCGTGACATGACAGAGCACAACCGGGATACAATTGTAGGGGAGAGAAAAAATAATTTCTAAAGTGTCATTGTAGCACCCACCATTATGGAGCATGCGTTTACGGTGGGGGGGGGGGGTTAAGAGAGTATGAGTTTGGGGGATAGATGACAATTGCGGGAGATGTGTATGTGTAACTGCCCTCGCAAACTGGAGATTTGAACGAAGGCATCGCCATCATACCATAGTGAGAGCTGCTGACACAGCCCAATGTTACACGTTTCACTTCCGCTGTCCACAGACGTGGGAAAATCCCTGAGCACGCCGCTTCTGCTGTCCCAAATCACAAATGCCGGATCGCACAACCGATTACATAACAGATCTCAATTGGAATGTCAGGAGTTCAAAGTGCATGATCAAGAGTCAGCTCAGTCCATGATCTCCTCGGTCAATAAAATGAGCACTGCTTCTTGGGAAGTCAATAATAATGGCGGTCCTGTTGATAAAATAGCCTTTGCCATAGGAATGTTGGAGAATATTTCATCGCTGCATCAAGGCCAGCCACAAATATTCTCATCGCCCCGTGTGGGCGCATGGGACAGGGAGGCCCTGGGACTTTATACTGAAAAAAGTACACGGGGAAATTTGCGACGACAATATTTGCAAGTAAAATACCTTCGCAATGTGAAATTATATTGTCTACTCTTCAAATGTTCACGAATCAGGGATTATTTCACTAATTGGTAAACATCAAAGCATCGATTTAAAACCTAATGTGCATATATACAGCATACTTTTTAAATCTTGAATTCGTGGCTGTAGTCGAACATTTTCTATACTGTGTACTGTGCCACTATGCTGATGGATAACTGTGTATTTATTTATTTTGAAGTCATAGTCTTGCCGACTACAGCCCGTGGATTCTATGTCGTCATTCTCGTATAGTTGACTAAAGTAGTTTTTTTTATATAGTCCACTCTTAGTTATTGAATGTTGGTGTGAAGACTGCACAATTACACCCTTTTCAATCCTCAAATATTGTCCAGACAGGGTAGAATAACAGTCATAACACGACATGGATTGAGTCAAATTTCTCATACACACAGGAGCACCCTGCAACTCCACAAATGACGGGTAATTATAAACGTGAGACGGAGCTCTGCCAAGTGAGTGCAGATAATTAGTTCAAGAATTCTGCGTTATCAATTTTTTATTTCATACACTGACAGATTTAGATTCAATCCGTATGAACGCGCGCAATAGCGAATCTGCTGGTAGCGTTCAGTACAACGAAACATTAATATTCCTGGGTCTTTCGGTAAAGTCACGTAGATAGGTTCAAAGAAAATAACAGAAAATAACAAAAAACTACGACGTCTTCCTGAAGACGAGTGCTTGCGTTGCGATCGAAACGTCGTAGTTTTTTGTTATTTTTTGTTATTTTCTTTGAACCTATCTACGTGACTTTACCGAAAGACCGAAGAATATTAATTCATGCAAGTCACGAAATCTTTAAGTCAACATTAATATCCCCATGGTATATTTCTGCAAGGTTAACATTTCTGCACTACAATATTTCCATGGTATATCGTTCAAATTAAAACGCAATTACGTGGAAAGATGACAAAATGGCATGCCTGCTACTTTAGGCTGCACAATGTTTTAATAAAATATGTGAAAGCACACCAGCATGCGTTGCTCAATTACCAGAAGACTATATATTGTCCCGATAACCTATGCAAAACGTGCCTGCTAGGAAAGAGGGTAAATTGCATCGTGCACATACTAAAGTAATGACATTCTCAAAAAAAGGCTCCATCGTCATACTACCCGGCAAGCATGCACCCGCGTAACCTTTCCGAGTGGCCTTATGACCTCAGCACTGAATTACTTTAATGTTGTTGCTTAGTGCATTCTAAATACTTGGTTATATTCCTTCCTTAAGAATATTTAATATTTATTCATTTTGTCAGTTAATTTTGTCATACGTGACAAAAATAACTGACGAAAAACATACGCCTAAAAATAACAATATGCCTTGAATTGAGACAGAGTTCAATGGTAGTGTTTTACATAACGTCAAATATTTCTCAATTTGAGTCACCGCAACTTCCCACAAAAGTTTATATTTTCTCGTCTAGCAAATGTCTACCCGTGGGGAAAAAATGTCTCGCAACATCAGAGAACTCAAAACAGCTACATCTGAGCATTCAATCAGGAACCTCAAAGAGCCAAAATAAGTAAACCCCAGGTGAGCATATGAGATAAAAAAAAAACTAGGCGTCTCACGGCTACAGAGTGTGATGAGTCAGCCTGACTCGGTGAATGAATCATCACATGAGGTCTTGGTAATTTGATGCTGCATCTGAGCTTATCCCAGATGTAAATATTATATGAAATCGTTCAAAGATAGGAAACGAGCTATTAAATTGCACAGTGAAGGCAATGCTGCCTTCTGGTCATGGCGAGGGAGCCCTTTTAAAGAGAAAGAATAAGCAAGTTGTGTTGCGTGTCTCTCACAGCATCCATTTATCCTCGTGACACAACTTCTGCAATGGGTTTCACAATCCACTGAGATCACACAAATCGGGTTAAAATTAATGGCAGCCAGGGGAAAAATATATTGGTGGGGCACAGAAATCTGTAGGGGTTGGGGGAGAGGGTGGGAGGCAGAATGGGGAGTGAGGGTAGAAGAGGAGCACGCGTGGTTATGCAGTTTAAAATCTTTATAATGAGCAGGTCAAAAGTGTTCAAGGTTTTAATTTTTATTATTAATATTCCACTAGTGGTTCCCATCCCCACCAACATTTAATGACCCACTGCCACTGGGTATAACCGAAGAAAAACACAGTAGGCCAAATGCAGATGCATTTGCAGCGGCTTTTGGCTTGCCATCGAATAAAGATGTGGCATTGCGTGCTTCTGCGGCCGTCTGGAATGTTTTTCCTTCCGATATTAGGAAGCCACCGGAGCTATGCACTTCTAAATCTAGATTGAAAACTCATTTCTATAGAACTGCTTTTTTTGTTTAGTTTGTTGTCCTTCCCCCGCACCTCCGATTAGCGCAGTTGGCTGTGTACAGTGCGAAAGAAGTTCAAAATACTGTACAAAAATTTACTGCATATAACTTCCGAATTCATAGTGCTTGGTCTGTACGTATGTATGTATGTTGAACGTCTTTCGCACCGTGCTAATTGGAGGTGCGGGTCTGCAAGTTAAACGTAGCTAAAATTAAACGCTGAACTTTTGAGGATGCCAAGAGGACTGGGGGTTGAGGGGCAGCAATTTTAGTGTAAAGCGCTGCGATGTGAGACGATCACCAAGCGAGTAAAGTGGCACACCGCCTCACGGGGGCATTTTTAAAAAGCGGTGCCTCGCCCCCCTCACTCAGCCTTCATGATCCAAACCTCATTGTGACGGTTAATTGGGCGGAACGGCGGATCGTAGCCCGCAGAGTGGAACGACCCAAGCTGGTACGGAAGCTTGGCATCGTCCAAGGCTTTCGCCAGCAGCTGGGATTGATGCAGCCAGTCTCTCTCCGCTGCATAGCCATCGAAGGAGCTGCGACGACACTCAAAACAAACGCCTCACGTAATATTTTTTCTCTCGCGTTCCCGCATAGGCAGCGGTGCCCAAGCACAATTAATAACAACACAACACATTTGTCAATAACACTGCTTTAAAATGAAATTAACAAAAAATATATACACCTCATATATAGATGTGCATAGCATGCACGTAAGACCAAGATCGTCATTTGGCGAGTGCTGCTAGTAAGTGCCGACACTCAGAGTGGCACCCGGGGAGCTGGCCTTGCCAAACTCACGTCTCGCCTAATTCGTTTACCCCCAGCGCTGATATTTACACATTGCACCACAGGCACTGATTTGAGATCGAAATGCTTAGTAAACTAGATCTCAATTGGATAAGTACAATCCATTCAACGTAAAGGTATCGATCGATCGTGTACATTTCAGCGTTTTTTTTCATTGGAATAAAATGCGACTTTTTAACCAGTGAAGCACGCGCAACACAAGACGACAAGAAGCAAAATGACTTGTCAACTACAAGTGACACAATCTGCACTTGTCGAACGATCTCAGTTGGGCCAAGGGCAGGAGGCACCGCCACTGTGGGTGTCCAGACACCCCCAGCACTTCTCATACAGGCCTAAGCGATAACCACAACATTTGAAATTCACTGAATCTTCTATGCTTTAATTCCTTGATCCCTGCATCCATTTACGCATTCGAATATGTAATAATTTTCACTTTCATACATGCGTTAATTCATCAAATCCTGCATTCATTCATGCACTCGTGCATGTGCTGCCCGTTAAATATGCGCAGTCTGCACGGAGCACGGCTGCCCTGAACCGTAAGCCACGTGCGTGCACACGCCTAATGTCATACACGCTCACCGCACAACTCCCCTGCACTCTGCAGGGTCACTGTGCCTCTGCAATGTAGCCAGCCGCCAACCACCGCCGGGGAACCATTGATGAGTAGGAGAACCCACCCCCAATTTCCGCAGTGCGGCTGCGCCCGTGGCCAAGGACGGTGCTGGCGGTGGTGGGTGGGACGTGGGACGTGCACGCCTAACAAAGTGGTGGGTGGCACGTTGCCTACCTGACGAATGCGGTCATCGCAGGCAGGGAGGTGAATTCGACGCGGGGGTCGGAGGGCGCCGGTGGCTCCCGGGAGCCGGGCGGCACGAAGAACGACACGGTGAGGTTGTGCTCCGCCCGCGCGCCTTTTGGCGTCACTTGGCACAGCACGGGAGCCGTCATGGGCACACGCACGCCTGCAGCGGACGGACCGAACGCGCATGACCGCGGCGATGAGATACACGGACGGCGCAGAGCGGCGGCGCGTTTGCCCGCTTGTTGCAGAGGTTCGCGGTTTGAACCCAGCGGCCGCGCTGGCTAATACTGCGGGGGCATTAACAGAAAAAAAGTGTGCATCGTCTGCTTATCAGCGGACATTAAAGATCCCATTAAGTTATTGGAACGGTCTAGGCCCCGGGCCGGCAACCTGCGGCTTCGGAGAAACAAGTGGCTCTTGTAAGGACTGCTGTAGATCGGAGTTAGACTGATGGCCTTAATCTAAGTTGTCTTGTGGTTGTTGTTGTTGTTATTAGACTTGCATCCCACTGGGATTTTTGCACACAGCGTTGGTGTATGGTGTTTTTTCTGGAATATTTTGCTGTTTTTTCCTGGATTTTCTGTTTGCACATAGTCACAGTCACTTTAAGATGTTTTCTTGTTCATGTTTTTGTTTGTTGCGGTTGCACCCTATTCAAGAGCCGAATGGCTCACAGGGCTGTACCTAATAAATGAAAACTGAAATATTCACATGCACTGCGGCTCTTGAAATATTGAGTTCTGTTTTACCAAATTTGAAAAATATGGCTATACTTATTTTGGTACAGGCCACGTGTGTTGTCATATTTGAAAACTGCTTACACATTTCCTACTTGGGTGAAGCCACGTGACAACATCGCCCCCTAATGTGAAACCACTGCAGACTGTCATCGTTTGTCAAAGATGGCTTCCTTTGCAATAGCCTTGCGCTACAAGCATGGCGCAAGTATCAAATATGAGCATGTGATTTGATGAGTTATACCTTAGCTGTACACATTATTACGTAATGATGAATATATTATTTAAAGATAGCCTTTTACACCCCCCCCCCCCCTATTTGCTTAAAAAGTGCCTCGCGAAAGATGTTCAATTCGATGAGGGCTGACTTGGGAGTTGAACAACACCATCTGCTCGCGGGGGGGGGGGGGGGCACAGAGTCGTTTTTGTTGTTGTCGATTTGTGCGAGCACCTCCCTTTGTGTTTGTTTTATCGAACCCATTGCAACAATCACAGCAGAGAACGTGCGCGCACGAGAAGAGGGGCCGTCCATAAATGACGTCACGCGATTTTTGACCCCCCCTCCCTCGTCACACGGCGTCACAAAAAGTCAGACCCCCCCTCAAATATGACGTCACAAAGCTCTGCCCCCCCCCCCCCCCAAATAAAACATGCTTCAAATCGCTTTAAACTATTGTCATTGTAGTGCGTATTTAATGTGGCACTGCACTCTGATGTTGTAGGAGAAAACGTTTATCAAAAAGTGTATTTAATTAAGTAGAACGTGTTGTCTATATTTATTTAAAGTTGTGCATTTTGATGTGACGTCACAGTTCTCAAACTCTCCCCCCCCCCTCGTCATACATCGTCACGAATGTCTGCCCCCCCCTCCCCCCAGGTGCGTGACGTCATTTATGGACGGCCCCAGAAGCAGTGGGGGGGGGGAAGACCCCTGGGTGGGAAGGGTAAGGGAGGGAAATGCGGCGAGTACCTCCTTTGTTGTAGCCACCGATGTAACGGAAGAGACGCATGAACCCATCGAAAACCGCTCGCTCGTACGCCTTGCCCTCCACTCTGGTCATCACCCATTGGCTGGCCTCATACGCCCTCTCCTGGAAGCCCTGCGCAAGCAACACACATCCAATCTTCATTTGAAGCTTTCTTGACTGCATGAATCCATACTCTTCGGTTCTTTCGATGAAGTCACGTAGGTAGAAAAAAATTTACCCGTAAAAACAAAGTTTTTCACTATAAATCCTTCATATGCGTGGTGGCTAGAGTCCCTCGTCCTCTGGCTTGAGATGGCTGCCACCTATGGGTCAGATGATTGCCTGCCACCATTAAGCAATTGGTAATTAAATATACAAAAAAAATCCTAAAAAGTGTAAAGTTATGGAAAAAGAATGTCACGAAAATAAATTGTCACGCACAACGAGTCTGTGTGCAAAATGTCAGCTCGATTGGATCACGGGAAGTGGGTTAAAAAACGACCGAAAGATTTGCACGGTCGTAAGCGCGCAAGCAAGTGAACTTAATATAAAGGATTTTAAAAAACACATCCACTTTGAGTCAAATACGGCTCGTCATCGTCGGCCATGGTCAGCCACGGTCAATCTGCTGCTGGATCAAGGGCCTCGCCCTCAAAGCTGCCACCATCTCTCCCGATCCTGCGATTTCATAATTTACAGAGCATCTGCTCGCAAACTGATTTGATCGCGGCGCCTCTTCAGTTGAGCGTCTTCTCAGAAATGTCTCATTCCTTGGCTGCCACTCCCATCACTATTCTTGACCGTTGGCCATTATCAGTTCTGGTTGACATGTACTGTCTGAATTACGTATTTATACCTGTCAACCCATACGGTTTACCCGTATTCTTGTACAGGGAAATTGAGTTGCAGGTCCATACGCCATACAGCCACTTCAATACGGGCATACATGTTTTGTCTATTTGTTTGTGTATTCTCCCTTGTGATGGGATTTTGTAGGATGAATGCTGAGATTTAAAAGGGCACGGGGTGACCAATAAGGTCTAAATTGGTCTGTGATAAGGTAGGGCACTGATCAGGGGTTGACAGGGATGTGTATTTAACCTGTGTATGCTCTCGAAATCGTGTTCCTCTTTCTGCTTCTCTCTCTAATTCCAAGCATACACCTCTCCACCAGTGCCAGGTTATGCTAGTGAGGGCCTGTAGCATATGTTATAAAGGGGCCTTAAATTAAAAAAAATTATATTAAAACACAAATGTTTAACTTGCAGAGTAAATTGTATTTTTGTATTTGCTATACAGCCAGATAATACGACAAATCGCTAACCTTCAACACCCAGTCGTTCATAAAAGTTGAAGGCAGTATAGTACTATAGTAATAGAGCAAGTGCAAAATCACTGAACCGGAATTGATAGCTTGAAAGCATTTAGCGCAGGGCCCGTAGCATTTGCTACTTTTTCTACTAGGATAATCCAATACTGTTCTCCACGATTCTTCTGCACTTTTAATTTCGTTCGTATTTTTTTATTGATGACCATATTTCTTGGGTACTTTTCCCAAAAGTGCCCGAGGTAATCAGCAAATAAAAAAGGAACTTTTTTTATGACCCACAGCCGGAATGTCTAGAAATCTGCAAAAACACAAAGTAACGCTCACTAGATCCAATTTTCCCTTTCTTTTGCTAAATGTAATATTTTTACGAACTCCCTTGAATGTCATTTTTTGGTGGGGTACATTTCTAAACCGCAGTTAACTCTGTGTTACCACCCATGGGCAGATTTTCCAGGATGGGAATTAACCGTCCTTGTGACAAAATTAAATAAGTTAAATTCATGCGAACTGGTTCTTCATTGGTAATCTGTGGCCAATAATTCAAATGTAATTCCCAGCATCATCATCAATATTGTGGCAACTCCAGTATTAGGTCACACTATTTTGTATCATCAATCATACTTGGTACTTACTACACACACACACGTTTGTACACGATCTCAAGAAACTTACTTCATGCTCAGCCACCAGAGTGAATGTAGGACAATCCAAATCATGACAGAACCATGGCTTCTTGGCAGCGTCCACCTTGGCACCAGGTGCATCCGCCATGGTCCAACCCAGCACCAGTACAGGCAGTACGAGTGCGGCGAGCATTCCGTGGGCTACGCGACACCTCTCGTGAGCTGTCACAACACCACATGGGCCAGGCATGACAATATCTCTACACATTTTGTAATACAATACTTCTTCTTTCGTACGGCTAATGTAGATGCAGAGCAACAACTACAATCTCACATTCAGGTGGTCAAGCCAGACAACAGCGTCAGGAGTAGCGGAGTGTATCTCTGTGATGTCTGTGTGTATATATATACATGTGTAGTGGGTTTGTAAGGAGACGGGAGTCTTCTTTGGAGGCAACACGTATTTATTGTAACAATAACAACAGTAACTCTAGGTCCCTACCACGAAGGTGTAATGGCCCCTTCTACCCACAGCCTAGGGAGGTACGGCCTCCTGGCTATTGTGCCCTAACCACTGGACGAATTACTCTGAGCCCTCCGGCCTAGCGGGACCTAGGGAAGGCTGACCCGACCCAGCCAAGGTCCTCGGGTCTCGACCGCTGGCCCACACAGACCCGGCCCTGAGAAGGGCGTCAGGTCGGGGGTTCCTCAGGGTCCTAGTCTATTGACCACTGGCCTCACTGAGCCCCGGCCCTTATAAGGACGGCGGGACTTGGGGTCCAGGGTCCTATCTTCAGGTGGCTTCGGATCTTCGGCTTGAGGCGAACTGCCCTCCGTCACTCTGGGGTCCGGCTTTTATGGGGCTCCCAGGGTCACCCCGCCCCTGGCCACGCCCCCCATCTGGAACCTTCTCGAGGGACCTGGATTGCTGCGTAATCCCCCCAGTCCCCCACCAGGGGCCCTGGGGTGTCCCCCTCCGGTTCCCAACCGTCCCCCCGGGATACGTGACCCGCGAGCCCTGCGTAGCACCGGCCGGACTCGCTATTGCCTCCTGTTGGCCGCTGGTTGTAAGTAGACTTGTGTTGCCTCCGAAACGTCGTGAGTTTATTATTTTATTTTTATTAATTTAAATTCATTTTTTTACCTACGTGACTTTATCGAAAGAACTAAGAGTATGAATCCTTGCAGTCACGAAAGCTTCAAATCTAGAATGTAAGTAGCAGCTCAACCAAGTGGTGGCGGCATATTACGCCCAACAATTACCCACCACACAGGCATGGCTTTTGTCCAATCCATTGCTGGATGAGGGCCTCCCCACAACATGAGAGTCGTGAAGGTTATTATTATTATATTTTGCCTTTAAATTTCGATTTAAAGCTTTCGTGACTGCAGGGATTCATCTTCTTGGTTCTTTCGGTAAAGTCACGTAGAAGGGAAATAATAAAATAATAAAAATTAAACATAATCATTATTTCCATTCTACGTGACTTTACCGAAAGAACCAAGAAGATATATTTTGCCTTTTTGCTTTCTGCACGTGCATGCTCGTAAGCAGCAGATGATGCCCACGGGGTTTTAATTGATCAGAATAACTGCTGAGGTAAGGGGGACGTGCAGCATGACTCAAGGTTGAGGATTGCCACGAGAGGCCTTTCTGTTGCACTAATCGGACACCAGCGGGGGATATTTTTAACTTGGCAACGACACTGTTTCTCATTAATTAAGATGAGGTGGGGGTGGGTTTGTGTGTCAAAGCAACTCTTCTGTTCACAAGTGATCAATCTCAGCCAGTCTTAGTGCTCAGAATTGTAAGGCTGGCTCAGAGTAACCATGGAACCCTGGGAGACGGAGGATAAGCATGCGTATTAAGGTACAAAGACACACACACACTGCACTTAATATATTACATAACCATAACAAACACAATCCATACAACACGCAAAACACCGTTAATAAAACGATATCCATAAAACACCAGACACAATACATTGCGATACACACAATGAACATTATCATACTTCAAACTATATATTTCATAAAAAAAAAAGTTTTCTGGCTGGATAACCTGGGTGGATTCCTGTCTGCCTGTGCTTTCCCTGGTAGGAGGGGGGTGATTAAGTTGTATGTGTTTGGGTGTTTACCTTCCTTGTACTTTGCACTATCATGTTTGACCTGTACATCGCTTTGATCGACGTCGTTTCGATGTTCGTCGTCGCACATTTCACGAACGCATCTCCGATGTAAACCGGGGTGTGCTACTTCATCAACATAATAAAATATTTAAAATACTTTTTTCAAAAACACGCTTTAATGAAATGCCCTGTCCGAGCTGCCCCTTCCCCTGCCCCCTTCCCGCATCGCCCCTCCCCCTCCTTCCACATGCCCCGCCCCTGGGCGTGGCTCCCCGAGGCTTGCCGTGACGTAAGGGACCGCGGTGATTTACAGGCAACGTGAGTTGACCATTCGAGCCGTAAACAAGATTGTTTACAAATATATATTTTTAAAAAATAATAGAATATAGTATTGTCATCAGTATGACATAGCTATACCAAGTTGGCAGTCGATTCGACATTGGGAAGACGGTTGAAATTGAGTTACAAGATTTTTGGATACAACACACAGAGTAAGTTACATAAAAGCGTGTAAAATGTTTAAAATATGTTTTGGATTTTTTTATGATAGAATACAGTATTGTCATCAGTATGCCATAGCTATTTCAAGTTTGCAGTCGATAGCACATTGGGAAGTGGGTAAAACATTGAGTTACACGATTTATTTTTGAAGATACAACAGACGGAGTGAGTTAAATAATAAAAGCGTGTAATAATAAAAAAAGACACGTGAACGCATAATACATTAATTAAAACCCAACACATTACACCAAACGCATAATAAAACCTACATGAATGACACACAGAATAAAACGCGTAATACTTAATGCAGTTGTACTCTGTACGAACGCGTCGGGTTCGTGGTTCCAAAGTTGCTCGCTTGACTTTAAAGGGGCGAGTTTTGGATAATAAAAAATTCGCACTTTCAGAAATTTTAAGTAGAGTTTCGTACATGTTCTCGCTTTTTTATCTTTATAATGTCCGATGATGTGCTCACAATTGCGGTCACCAAATGCCACGTGAAGTCGTGAAGACCACGGAAGTTAATCCCGCTGCTGTATGTATTTAAAAATAAACTATTATAAAACGATACCATAATCGTGGATCTTATATCACAGGATATATCGTAGTGTCTGTCGACACATCACGCCAACACGAGCCTCCACGTGTTTACAGTGTCAAGGAGCCGCGTTACATAACAGCGCCAAGGCTATGGAGACCACTAACAAAGACAAAGGCCCCCCGTATAGCCTACATATAGTGCTGGGGCAAGTGCTATTAGCGAGCACCTCTTAAGAAAGGGACATCGCACCTATGAGGGTGGTCGGCGTGGTCAGAACCCCCACTGCCCGTCCGCCTTTGTCTCCCTAAATATTGTTTACACACCGCACCAGGTACTAATGTACACACACCAAGCACACTCACCTGCGCAGGTGGTTTAACGCATTCACTCTGCGTGCTGGCTTTTAGACGAGAAGGGAATTGCAGTCCAATACCTTTTGTGTGTGTGGTCGAGCCGAAGAAGACTGCTTGCATGAGTTGTCCACACAGCCAGGCAACTCGCACGGCATCAACCAAGGGGCGTTAGGTCGTGTGGCAAGCGGTGGGAACGGACGTCCCTTCCAATGATGCGTGTTATGATGATGCAGTGGGTGTCCTCCCACCCACACGATTCACGTTACTGCTTTCCCAGCCAGTCGTCAAATCCCACGCCTAATCTCGCCTGGAAAGCTCTACCGCCTTTGGCTGTGAGCATCCAAAAGCAAACGCGGGTTTGATGTGTTGCGGCGTTTTTTTTTTTGTCAAATGTGTCATGCAGAGAGGGCTTTTGTCTGTGTGTGGTTTCTTTAACGTTAGCAGTTCGCCGGGACAATAACAAGAGTTAGGCCAAATCTGTACTTTACGCACAATAAGCACAGAAAACACGTCCGATAATAGGGGTGGTAGTCCAACCGCGTTGCATTGCAGGCCATGTTTGCTTAACATGCAAACGTAATGCCGATTGAGAGATGCATGCTTGGAATTAGCATGGGAAAGTGACAATACTTGCATCAGGGAACCAACGCTAATTCTTAACACATTTATTCACCACAATTGGTGACGGGATGGAAGCCATGGGAACACTCACTCCTGAGAGGTTAAACGACATGGAGATAGTGTTGAGATCATTATGTACAGCAGAAAAATGGATTGTGGCATCAGAGGACCATAACGGATGGTTACAAAATATGGATGCCTTTATCCAACAGAGGATAAAACATAGCGAATGAGGATGTCAGGTAAGGAGACGGGCAGTCACCAAGGCTCATCCAGTGACAGTAAACAAACTGATAATTGTATTAAACAATTAAGATAAATTAAGGTATTCATTACCTCCACGATTACAAATAGGTGCATTTTATACTGTAAGAATTAACTATCAAGGTAAAAAGCCATTTGAAAGCATCTTATATAAAGAAATTGGATCCTCTTAACGACACGATCTAAGTGGGGGGATATCTTTTTAAATATATATAGCAAATACTGGCAATAACAAGCTAATCTTATAAAAGCAGGTTTTGGCAGCTCCACTATTCTTAAATCCTTGGTCGTAAGCAGAATTATAGCCGGAGGAAAAACTTTCAATTAGTATTCAGACGGTGCGGGTGCATGTGTGCCTGCGTGATTTAACATGCTAAACTGCATTCCAATAAAAATACATCTCACAAAATGCTAAGCACGTCTGGGGAATACGGTATTCATTTAAAAGGTACAGTAGTCATACCTCGATATACGTAGTAGATGCATTCCTGAAGCTTCATTCGTATATTGAAACGTCGCATGTTGAATAACATTTGTACCGATAATGTGTTCCCAACCTTCATAACGTCCCATTTAACACTATAAACACTGCACAACTTACCATTCATATTGTAAACAAAGACAATTTATATTCAAAATGTTTTATACTGTACAGTATTACAATTAAAAACTTACATTAAACAACATAGCTAAGCATTTTATTATTACTTATATAGTACTGTAGATCAACGAATATATTGCTGTTTATTTCTGATTTTACTTAATTTTTTGTTGTGTGTGTAAAATAATGGTAACAAAATCCAAAGTGCGTTTTCCCAAAACTTCGTTTATTTATTATATACATATCGAGGTATTACTGAATTACCATTGAGCGATTTAACCCAAAAATGAGTACAGTATTTGACTCAGTGATCTTTCAACAATCACCTGCACAGGTAAGACAATCTAGTGATCTGTTAGCAGACCATATACCATCCTTTTATTTGTCCTACATACCGTAATTATTGCAAGAGAATGTAAGGTAGCCAGGAAATGAGTGTTGAATTTAACTCCCTCGTACGCGTAAGTTCTTGCAATGCGTGATAACTAGTTCCTTGAATCCATCTGTGTAGGACTTTGAGTGTTATCCCATAATATGCATGTCTTCACCGGCACTACAATTTTCTCTACATGCCAAACTATCATTCATGGCATTGGTCAAACATCCAAATGCAAGACTGGCAATGAAAACAATCTTTCCGAATCATTCATGCTTTTCTGCATAAACATACATCGCATTTTAATGTAATTTAACAATACATTACATCACTGTTCATTTAACGTGAGCAAAATACACTTCAACTTCTTTCAAATGGAACTGTTTTACAGGGAATTTGTGGAAATCATTCTTAACGTTTGGTTCCTGTTTAAACACAAGTTAGCTGTTCATCTGTCCAACAGAACACATTTGCCAATGAGACCAGGTTGCGCAAGACAATGTCTACATGATGCATAATACATTTTTGGGTCAGACTGCACAAGTTACATTTTTGTCACAGACCCTTCACCTTACACAGCCAATTAATGAAGTTGTCACGTGAACAAATGTGCCAATTGGTTGCTGCTTCAGCACCACCTGTATGCTGGAGAGCAAACTCACAACACGAAAAAAAATGTGTTACAACGTATGTGGTTTGCTCTCCAACATACCGGTGTGCTGAAGCAGTAATACATTTGCAAGTCTGGTCACATGACTTTATTAATTGGTCGTGTCGGCTGTAGAAGAGTATAAGGCGCACACTTTACTCACGCGATCTTACCCAAAAATCAATATGACTCACATTGGCCGCAAAAGCCGACATGTTAAATGTACATGTCAGCATATAGAAAATAAAATAAATATTACTTTTTTCGTTTTACAAGTTGATGTATGCTTGAAATCAATAAGCAGTCACCTTTGTAGTACTGTATTCAAATGCAGAGTACTTTAATTGTGGTGTGGTGGCTCAGGTTATAGTCGTGAGTCAGCATCGCTTGAATCGTGAGTTTTATTGCAGAGAAATCACCCGTGACAAAAACATTTTTTTCAAGTGAAATTAGTTATCTCAGTCCAATCACCAATGACTGCACACAAAAACGTTCCATTAACATAGGGGTTTCACTTTGTCTTCGTAAGGCTCCAACAAGGTAACTGTTGGTGATATGCTATGAACATTTTCTACAGGGCATATGAGAAACCTAGGACAATCGAATTATTTTATTTTATTATTATTTTACCTACGTGACTTTACCGAAAAAACCTAAGAGTATGAATCCTTGCCGTCACGAAAGCTTCAAATCAAGAAAGAATGAAGCCTATGACAGGTTGATGCACTGCTTTCTGCAAGGGTTACAAATGACAATTTCTTCATCTCGTGATGTAACACCGACAGCACGGTTTGAATAAAACTTTGGTGAAAAATGTAGGGCACAGGCAGTCTCACAGATGTCTCCCGATGCTTTGCGTTTCATCAACATCTTGACTTCATCACGGTCCGTTGCAAATATTTCACGATCAATCCGTTCACTTTCCACTTCCAAACAATTCCTGGACCTTGTTATAGATGCGTGTTGAGTAAGGCACCCAGCCCTCGGGAACTGTTGAAGACATTTGAATACTGTACATGGGACTGTTCAGCTCCACGACATGTTTCTTGTAATTCGGATCTGCAAAAGAAGACGTCACAAATGGGTTTACAAAAGTATATACAGCCAGAACGAGAGAACACAAACATGACAAACAGTGCAACACGAGAATGACAGAACAAGACAAACATTGCAAACGACACAGAACGAAACAAAACACAGTCATCACCAGGCAGAACAAACGCCACGTAACATACAAACGAGACGTAACTAGACCGTACCTTCTTATTGGTTCTTTCGGTAAAGTCACGTAGAATGAAAATAATAAAATAATAAAATAAAACATTATAAAATAATTCTCACGAAACGTCGTGAGAATAAAATAATTCTCACCAAACGTGAGAATTATTTGATTGTTTTATTTTATTATTTCCATTCTACGTGACTTTACCGAAAGAACCAAGAAGATGAATCCCTGCAGTCACGAAAGCTTTAAATCGAAATTAGACCGTACCTGTACTGCATAATCACAACCGAGCCAGAAAAGCAGTACAAAGCGAGACCAAACGCTTCAAATGAGTCAGAAAGTTCTAGATTTGAAGCTTTCGTGACTGCAAGGATTGATATTAGGTAAAAAAATTATTGTCTTTTTTTTACCTACGTGACTTTACCGAAAACACCTAAGAATATGAGTCAGAAAGTACTGAAACAAACGATACCAAAACGAATCGATTGTTGATTTCTTGGATGGCATCGATGCTCATATTTGCGACCTCGAATAGATGTAATTCTGTGAGATGTGAATCGATATCCGGCCTACTGCTGCAATGTCACACCACGTGGAAGTCATTGCGATTAAACCCCGTGGGCCCTTGTCCCGTACTGTCACCATCATCAACCTTTGTATGTTGAACTTCTTTCATACCTTACGTAGCCAACCATGCTAATCGCCTATCACCTGCACTCCCACATTATCTGACTCCACCACTCCCATTCACATCAATTGTCCCATTCGTTTTGGAGTGACTTTCGAAGCTGTTACACTCGGACCCTCTAATCAACGTCGCTTTACGTTGTCTACTGCTGGATGAAGGCCTCCAGAATGCCGTCGCAACGTTTTCAATCGGTGCGCACTGCCTGCTATGACACATGGATCAGACGTGGAAATTAAACAAACGTGGAACCAAAACTGAATCAGTGCGCGAAGCATTGAGAGACGCATACTCTGGATAATGGGAACACGTGGATCAGAGAACCTACGCAGCTTACATATTTAATTCGATAATTGCACATTGTAATTCAAACCCGTAAACACATTTTGGGTCTGTACCGTGCGTGGTCTATCAGCGAGCCTTACACTTCCACGTGATGGTCTCAAAGTGCACCTAGACTGGCAAGGGCAAACTGTGGTTACAAACTCACGTGGTTGCGATTTGGCGGCCTGTTAGAACCGTTTTCCCCGCGTTATAAGACGCATTTGTGTGTGTGCCCCCCCTGATTGGGGGAACAGGGCGGTGCGTCTTCTATTCAAGTCGGTGCGTGTCACCAGATTCCTGTAACTTTATTGACACGGGGGGGGGTAGTGACACGGGGGGGTAGTGACACAGGGGGGGGGTGACACGGGGGGGGTGACACGGGGGGGAGGGTGACAGGGGGGGAGGGTGACAGG